TATATCAAAATGCAAGTGTTATGATGTAACATTAGAAATATATATTTAATTAGTAAATATTAATGTACATTTTTCAACTTCTCACTCAAATTGTTAATATATTATTTGATATATTACATTTTGTATATTATAATTTTAAAAAATTTTAAATTTTAAACATTTTACTTTTTTGCATTAAATTGGAAAAATACTAAATTAGCCTCAGATTTTTGAACCCCACTATATGTATTAAAGGAATAATTCATCTAAAAATGAAAATGTACTCACACTCACAGGCCATCTAAGATGTAGATGAGTTTGTTTCTTCATCGGAACAGATTTGGAGAAATGTAGCATTACATCACTTGCTCATCAATGGATCCTCTGCAGTGAATGGGTGCCGTCAGAAAATAGCTGATAAAAACATCACAATAATCCACACCACTCCAGTCCATCAATTAATGTCTTGTGAAGTAAAAGCTGCATGTTTGTAAGAAGTCCATCATTAAGGCATTTTAACTGTAATTTAATTCTCATTCTGACGGCACCCATTCACTGCAGAGGGTCCATTGGTGAGCAAGTGATGTAATGCTACATTTCTCCAAATCTGTTTAGATGACAACACAAACTCATCTGAGGGTGAGTACATTTTTAGCAAATTTTTATTTTTTATGTGAACTATTCCTTTAAAATTAATGAAGGTACAGCTGCCCTTTTAAATAACAAATTATATCTGATTATCTGTGTTATTATGAGCCAAATCTGATGGGCCAATTTCTCTCAAAAACCTCTGCGGAGATTGTCAGCTGTTCAAGATCTTAAAATGTAGTAAATGTAATTATTTTCACATTAGGTTGTATTTTGAATTTTCTTCTATTTTTATATTGAATGTATATAAAAGGTTATATTATTTATGAAGTGTTTATAGGGAAATTTGGTATGAACAATGAACAATATAGATTAATTGTAGGAAGGTGTACTATTCATGCTTACTCAAATCTCTGAGAGAATTATGATCTTATTTTTGTTTTTCAATCTGGTAAATGAGGAAATAGATTAAAGTACATTTTAGCATGAGCATCTTGATCAGTCAGGTGCTGCGTGCTGATATTACATTTTAGTTCACTGTGCTAGCGAGGTTTTTATGTCCCTGTCTGTGCCGCTCATCTTCTCAGAGTATAATGCACCTGTTCGTGTGAATCTTTTCATATATAAATTGTAAAATGTAGAAAACTAAAAACTAAAAAAAAAGGCTTCTTGTAAATAGGCTGTTATAAATAGGCAGCAAAATCCAGTGTAAATGTCTCTGTTGCCTCAACCAAAGATGAATATAATGTCTGTACGTCATTTATCTGGAGGTCATCGCAAACCATCATTCATGCATACTTCTATGAGTCATTTAGAAAGCAAGAAAGAAAGATAAAGAAGAAAGCATTGTTGCCTTAAATCTATTATTAGTTACAAATCCTTGGGAATTATTCTCTATTGTCATTCATAGAATATTTGTGTTCATCTTCCTGTTTAGTCATCCTTCTCTGACTCAGTTCTGAGTCATGACACATATCTTGAGCTTGCTTTTTTCTGTGCTTATGTCAACGCTTTCTTCATCTCTGAGAGACATTGAAGTGATTTCATCATTTTTATTTTACTGGAGAGTTGTGAATGTCAGCATGTTGCTCTTCTCAGCTGTGAGGCTAAACTTTGCAAAGCACATTTGATTGGTTGATACTGTGCCATTATAAAATATTATGAATATTATAGTGATATTTTGTTTTATTTATTTTGTTTATTGCCCCTCCTTTCATATTAAATTCCCACGAGCAGAGCAGAGAGTTGGTGACATACTGCAAATATCATTTTCTTGATCGGTGTTTTCCAGCAAAACATCTAAACATTCTTAAAACATGCCATATATATATATATATATTGTTTTATGCAGAAATCAAATAGCATATAGAGAGTTTTATGAATTGAAAGAAGGAAAAAGTATAATTTGAAAATATATTCTCTGAAAACAAACCTTGTCCAGTTAATTTTATCTTTGTTTTAAATGTAAAACAACACAATACTGATTAAGAAACCTCTTTGCTGGATGAACTGAGTCCATACTAAGTTCTCTGACTGTAACTGTTTTTAGAAATGTCTTGCCTCAAATCTAGAAATTTCAGCAAAGTCCTTTTTTAACCTCATGTTTAGCACATTTGGGCTCAGAATGTGAAATTATGTAAGTGAAATGTACATTTATAGAATATTGAAGTTGATGAGTAAATATGGCACAGTGAGATTCTGCCTTAATAAGTGTGTTTAGTTCTGCTTTGTAGTAACTGTCATGTGTTCGGCTCAGTTGAGTACATATGTGTTTGCCAGGAAACCTCTGTGTTTATGTCAAAACTAAGCTATTTTTAATTTAGTTTTTTTTTTTTTTTTTTTTAATCCTCATGTACAGCGTATTTTCTCCTGCATTCAAACACATACTAATTTCTATTAGTAAAATAAAAGGATACTCTGATCAGCAGTGCACTAGTGGCATAAATCATGCTGTACAGCCATCTGTTGGCTATCTAGTGTACTGCATCACTGCCGTCAAACATATTTTGAGATCCACACATTGTTTCGTTAACCTTTTTATTACTTCTCAAAGTATAATTTGTCATGAGATGTATTTTTTTCTACATTAATGTCTGTTGATCCATTCATTACTTTTTTATTTCAAAAAGAAAAAATATTTAAATCATAAGGCAGGTGTGGCCATGTGATCGTGCTTGTTTCGATGCTCCTTAATTGCACTTTAGTGACAATAAATCTTTACTCAAAGGGCTCAGATGACGAGTTTGAGTGTTTATTTTGATATATTTGATCTTTATGTTTTAAATGTACAACAGCTGTATTAACAGAAGGGTTGTTAAGAATCTGCTCTGTTTTTTGCAGCCTCGACTCGCCGCAAATACCACCTGGTCAGATACAGTAAGAAACCCAGTTACTGTGCCAACTCCTACTTGCCCTCCCGCCCGCAGAAAGAGGACAGCAAACCCACAGACCCCCGTAGCAGGGCCAGACACCTACAGAGCATCTCTCTGAGACGGGGGAGGTGACCCTACCTGTAGCACACACACTTCTGTCTGTTCTGCACTGATGGTGGAGTTGAGTGATGCTATTTCAACCCAAAGTTCAGAATCAGATCGCGCTATATGTGGAGAATAATGCGCGGCAATCAGCTCATTTATTTATTTATTTTTTTTAAAGTGGCATTTATCGGTTTTAGCAAACGATATATATATATATATATATATATACCGGTATATATATATATATATATATATATAATTTTATTTAATTACCATAATTACCATTTTGTTCTTTTGATTTTGGGGTGAAATATGACATGGACATGTTCTTGACAGGTTTCTTGAGATTTACCTTAAGTTTATACTTAACCTGTTTAATCCCAAATTTTTGATGTGCAATTAGTAACCCTTTGAAATAATAATTCTTTTTTTATATTCTTTTTTGGAAAAGTGTGTGAAAAATTGTGTTTTATGATCAGTTACAATGGTGACCGGTGAGATAATGTGTAACTGAATTAACATATATCTGCAGTCGTCAAAATTTTGATATATCTCAGCCCAGCTATTTTAAATTCTGTTTGATCACATTCTATAGGGTTACTATGCATAAAAACTCTTATACAACACTGATAGGAATACACTAATGCACTAGAAAATTCACTAAAAGAAAATAGAAAATGCACTAAAACACCAGTCGGTAACATTTTTAGAGCTTTATAAATGAAAACCTTCTTTACGGTCACCAGAGCATCTCTCTGAGACAGGGGAGGTGACTCCATCTATAGCACACACACTTCTGTCTGTTCTGCACTGATGATGGAGTTGAGTGATGCTATTTCAACCCAAAATCAAAAAAAAAAAAATTATATTTTGCATGAAGATAGTACAGTCTATTTTACGACCAATAAGATTTTTGCATTGTGACAGTTTTTGACAATTAAGCACTTTCCCTGAAAATTCTTATTACTGTAGTGTATACAGACAAATAAAAAAAAAGTAAAAAAGGAACATTTATTTGTATTTTTATTTATTTTTTAATTCACGTTGTATTTACATTTTAATGTATAATATATAATTATTTTAGAAATGTTTAGAATTCTTATTTTCAATTGTGATGCCCATTGCCTTAATACAGTATTTTATGTTTTTAATTGCATTCCCATACAAAAATATACTATGCTTCCCATGCCATTTTATTTAGTATTTATATCAACATAAACTAAAGGCACTACAACTTCCATGATGAATGAGTACTTTAAAAACAATGTTTTATATTTTTCCTTTCTTTTAACCGTAATAAGAATTGGGGAGGAAAATCTGCTTAATTGAGCAATATATAAATTCGGTAACATTTTTAGAGCTTTATAAATGAAAACCTTCTTTACGGTCACTATTGTGAACGGTGGGATTAAATGGGTTTTAATCCCACACTGAAACACCTGTACATGTACATACTATGTTGAGCACCACTTTCAGAATTATTATAATAGTTCTTCAGGTTGATTTAGACAAATATCGTCTCTGCTGTCCATATGACATGAATGATGAAACACATGCACCAAATTCACACTTTTCCAACCTTTACGCTACGATGTTCATGTTGTAATTAAAATATGTTCTTTGCATCATTCCAAGTTGTTTATACAGTGTAACGCTCAAGTGACGAAATGACAACGCAAAAAATATCTGCAAAACCTACATTTAATGAAGGCTCAGACGACACTCAAAAATAACACTAGCAACAATGAAAACCAGATGTTTGAAACACATCTACTTCTTCATCTCCTTCTCCTCATCCTCCTGATGAATCATTCGAGCCTCTGTCTTCATCAGTTTCACGCCTGCAAAAGAAAAGTGCAAAGAACTGAGACAAAGAGACAGCGAGAGATGGCTGGAGAGGGTGATTGAGTGAAAGGAGAGGGTGATTGAGTGAAAGGAAATCAAAGTCTTGCCTGGTATGAGTGGAGGGATGTTGAGTACGGGAGTGTCTTTCCTGCGGGGTTTCTTCTGTCCCAGATTATCCTGCTGATGTTCCTCGGAGCTGTGCTTCTGATTGTCCATTTCAGTGTTCCCATCTGCAGAAGAACATTTCAGAAACAGGCTCACACTGCTGGTCTGTATGTATCAGTCAGACTGTCGCCATCTGTTACGCCTTTGTTACTTCTGCTGGATGCTGTTTACCCATATTTTGACCCTTCTATTATCAATATGTAGTTATTTTCCTTAAAAAAATAAGGTTGTGCATGCAGAAATACATGCAGAAATGCAGTGAAAAACAGGCTGCAGTACTCACAGAGATGTTCATGCATGGTGAGTGTGTGTTCGGCTTTGTCTGAGAGTGACCTCACACAGTCAGTGGACATGCTCCCCACAGCAGTCTGTTCAGGTATCAGATAACAGCTCGTGTTTAGCGCACACACACACACACACACACACACACACACACACTCATATACATGACAAAGGCTCTGTCATATTTACTGGAAAGCATATTTACTGAATGTTTGAAGCTGATTAAACAAAAGCAGCTTCTCACTTCACAAAATTATCATTTTATTTCTGCTTGGGCTCTGAATTTAATGCTATTAGTTAGTTTTATGTATTATGGTTAATTATGTCATGTTAAAGCACTATATTTAAATGCATCATATTAGATAGACAAAAAACATAATGTGTTTGATTCCATGTTAATATTCATTTTTCCAAGACAATATGTACTTTCTCCAGGAAATTACATGACAGAGAAAATAAATTTTTCTCTGATAAATATTAGTATTGCATTTATTCACATGCAAAGCAAATATATTAATATTACAAAAAAATTACATTCATATATATATTTTTAACCATTTTGTTTAAATATAATTACATTTATTACATTTAAATGTACTAATTAACATTTACCTGAAATTTATCTTATATATCCAAAAATATATAAATTATATTTAAATAAGTGAATAAGTAATAAGTAACATTTGCTTCTGATTTGATGTGTCCATCATAAAATAGCATATACATATCTATCTATCTATCTATGATAATAATAATAATAATAATAATAATGGTAATAAATTACAAAACATAAGAAACAAAAATTACTCATGTACTTATGTTTAAATACTCCAAAAAACACGGTATATACTCATTTAAATAAAATGTATTAATCAACATTTTCTGAAATATTTTGGTAATTATCTTTAGATCCAGAAAAGAACTAAAGAAGTGAATTATAAGAAAGAGAGAGAGGCCTTACCTCAGTGCAGCAGAGAGACGGAGAGCGTGTGCAGGCCAGATCAAAGACAGGGGTTATGTACTTCAGGAGGAGGGGCCTCCCCCAATTCTGTCGCCATTAGAGCCTGTTGTCATGGTGACAGAGGTCCTTGTCATGTGTCAATCATCCCAGCTTCCATGAACGCACGTCATCGAGGTTAATGAAACAACTTCAATAATTTTTAAGCAGTGATTCAAACATGATGGAGGTGAGGTTGTTTAGATGGATTGTGTTAAGACGATGTTTTCAATGCAGTGATTCCTACTTCATTTGCTTTTGATTTTAAGTGTGTCCATATATAATTAAAACATACCACTTCATAAATAATAATGTTTAATATAACAATTTTTGCAGTTTGCGACGCATCTACACTCACCATAACTCATTAAGAGCTCAATGGAGAGCATGAACAAGAGGAAATGAATAATAATGGAAAACAATGTGGACATTGTTTGCTGACAGTCTTTGATGTTTTTCTATTCTCCTCTGATGTGAATGGTTTCCTCCTCCCGTGTGGAGTGTGTATGGAGAGTGTGTGAAGTGATAATGATGATAATTTTTCACCCACTGAACCATCTTGTTAAACACGACACTGTATGTTTAACCGTTCATATGCCAACCTGACGCCTGGCAAGGGAGCGTCTGCCAAGAACATAAATGTAAACGTAAAAACCTGTTCTGACTGAATAAGGGCACAGTGAGGCACTTTATACATGATCCCTAAATACTGAAAGAAGCTGCTACACATACGGCTCATTGTCGTAATTATCGTAATATTATAATTTTTTTACTGATGCATTTAACAGAAAAACACAGATACCGAACATTATTTGATATATTTACCTTTGTTTATGGCATAGTGAACGATTTTGAAATAAAATATTATTTTTAAATTTCTGAGGAAGTGACAACGAAGTAGCCTACTTCTGATAAAACGATTCAAACAGGCAAGTCTCTTACGGTGTAATTATTCAATATTTCATTATTTTCACACTTATATTGTATAGCTCAATACTTTAGCTTTGTTACGTGTCAAAACAGTGAATAGTTTGTAGGCATAAAGTATTTTTTACCAGCAGCACTGATCTTCAACTCCGTATCTTTCCCCAAAACATTTTGAATGTGACGAAGAATTGAATGGCTATTGTTCAAAACATGGTTTGGAAGACTGTCATGATGACTTGTAATAACGTTTGATTTATTACGCCAAAACTGAATGTATACTAACAGTATTTACTTAATTATGAATTCTGTGTACTATATAATTCAAGAGGTGAATTGGCTACTGAGAAAGCCATACTGTAGCCTATATTCTAAATATTAACTCTTATATGGTCCACCACAGTCCCAATTGTGAAAACTTTTATTTCTTGAAGGTTCAACAATGAACTTAAATGAAGTTATTAATAAATCAGTACTGACATTTTCAGCAGAAAATGGTATCGTTGACGTTTCCAGAGGCTGGGCCATAACTGTTGGCGAGCATCTCAGGAACATTGGAGGAACCATCAGATCTTTGTCCAATCAGACAGGGGGACCAGCACTATGTCATCCACTGGTTCATCAGGAGAGCAGCAGTTTCCTTATATGGTCAGTGCAGCACCAACACCACATATGAAGTGTTTCATTACAGAGATAAAGAGGGAGATGGAACCAGAGAGTGTGAGGCTACTGGGAGGAGGTTCACTCTACATTATAAGAGACGTGTGTGCACACATAAAAACACAAATAGACACGATAATGGTTTATATACATAATTCTTTATTAGTTCTGTGCTCAAGTGTCAGCACTTCACGTTATAAGTGACTTCCAAAAAAACAGAACGACAGGTCTTCATCACTGCATGGCTGCATCACTACAAGAAAGGAAAGACTGAAAATTATTAATTTTGTATGTTGTTTGCATTCAAGTAAAATTAAATTCCATTTAGACCCGATAAAATGTTTGTCTTTTACCAAATGTTTATCAGATATATGTACGTAAGCTATATATGTATGGAAATCAGACATTTTTTATTTCTACAAAAAATGATATCTCACAATTCTGTCTTTCTTGCAATTTTGAGATAAAAAAAAAAAAGTCACAATCACCTTTTTAAATTGTGTCAGTAACAGAAAGAAAAACAATTGTTACATGCAAACTCAGAATTCTGAGAGAGAGAAAAGTCAGAATTGCAAGATATAAATTATCAACAAATTATTTTTTAGGGTTAGTTCTGTGCTCAAGTGTCAGCACTTCACGTTATAAGTGACTTCCAAAAAAACAGAACGACAGGTCTTCATCACTGCATGGCTGCATCACTACAAGAAAGGAAAGACTGAAAATTATTAATTTTGTATGTTGTTTGCATTCAAGTAAAATTAAATTCCATTTAGACCCGATAAAATGTTTGTCTTTTACCAAATGTTTATCAGATATATGTACGTAAGCTATATATGTATGGAAATCAGACATTTTTTATTTCTACAAAAAATGATATCTCACAATTCTGTCTTTCTTGCAATTTTGAGATAAAAAAAAAGTCACAATCACCTTTTTAAATTGTGTCAGAAACAGAAAGAAAAACAATTGTTAGATGCAAACTCAGAATTCTGAGAGAGAAAAAAGTCAGAATTGCAAGATATAAATTATCAACAAATTATTTTTTAGGGTCATTACGTTTAATTAAATTGATTTCAGATTGAAGAAGAAAACAAACCTTATTCCAATGAGTTACTGTTGATTGAATGCTGTAATGAATTTTTCAACTGAAAGATAAAATTGCATAGTTAACAACATGTTGGGACATTATCATTATCAGATCCAATTGTTCTGATGATGAGGGTATACTGTAAGATGTTTCTTACACTTTTAATAAAAGCTACAAAGTCCAGCCTGTCTGGTTTGCAATTAGCCTCCCATTGGGTTTGACAGGGGAACCGGTGTGGATCTTGACATGCCCCATGACAGGTGCAGTGATGATGGACACACCGCTGTGGACTGGACGTGATGGGCGGCAGGCAGCACTGAATGGCCACGCTCCTGGTTGAGGTGGGTTCTGAATGGGGCGTATTAGAGGGTCTAATTCGCAGTTGGGTGCACAGCTGAGACTGTTCATCCATGAGCCGATTCAGCTTCTGTAAACATAACAGTACAGGGATAAAAGAAATGTTGGTCTGCTGTATATTCAATACATTGCACTGCTGAAGGATGTTGGTGGGTTCAAATTCACGTTTGAAAGTGTTTTGCCCCATATTAAAATATTTGGAACATTTTATGTCAAAATGTGGCATTTTGCCCCAAGCCCTAATTTCTGATCCATAAGTCATATTTAATGTTTAGTTTATGAGTAGATTGAATACCATTTTAATGCTGTCATCATAGTGATGTACCAGATCAGACAGCTGCTGTTCAAGCATCCCAGCTTCATGTTTGACAGCTGCTCGTAGCCTCAAAACATCTTCCACTTCCTCCCTGAGACACAAAATCAACTTTACACACTGCAAAATGCATGCTATTGAGGAGCACTATTAATCAGCGAGATATCCGTTATGACGGTATTCGTTATCACCTGTGGGAATCTGACAGAGATCCGATCACAGATGCTTGTTCTTCTTCTAGTCTCCCTTCAATTTCTGTCAGAACAGCCTGGAACTTCCTCAAACATTTCACCATGTCTTCAAGCTCATCCAGAGAGTACTGGAAAGAGAAAGAGAAAGGATATTTGTCTGCTCCTGTGTGATCCCTTCTGGGAAAACAAGGTCTTTAAAAGTAGCTAAGCTGGTTTTTGGTGTATAACAGCTGGTTTATTGCTAGAGGCTGGTTAAAACATGACGTCAGTCACACCAGCTGGTAGGTCCAACTGATTAACCACCTAAACCAGCTCAAACCAGGGTTATTATAGTTAACAAAATCCAAACCAACAAAAACCATGTGCGTTACTTGAAATAAAATAAACGTTAACTGAAATAATTTTTTTTCAAAAACCTTAATCCTATTTTATTTCAGCTAGTTGCCAAGACCACATTTCTCATTTTCATTTAGTTTAACTTTATGCACTAAAATAACTCAAATTGAAATAAAAACGCATAGCAAAATTATTAAAACGAACTAAAATGAAAGTGAAAACAGAATAAATTTCAAAATATTAATATATCTCTGATACTAAAATAAAACTGGCTTGAACCAGGGGGTTTTAGCTAGATTTTCCAGTAGCAAGGAGTATTTTGCCGTTCGTGACCTCTGACCTCCAAATGCAGGTAGCTTCAGTTGAGTGTTTGTAAGCGAGGATGTGAGTTAAAGGGGATTCTGGTGCGTGTGTGCTTGAAGGCTGTGAAGATTCTGAAGTGGTCAGTGTTCACTGTTTTCCATTACACATGCAAATGAACCATACAAATTCAAATGAGCCTTATTAAACATAAGCAGTGCACAGCTTTTAATCTCTTCTGCCTGTTTAAGAGGCAGAAGAGTTTTTCCCAGAATAGAAATGTTTAATCTTAGTTTGTTCTTATAATCAGAGGAAAGATCTACTAGTGGTAAAGAACCCATGGAAGTCCATACTTCAAATGTGGAGCTCCTCCCACATATGATGGAACCAGTGTTTTTGTTGTTGTTGTTGTTTTTTCCATCACACCAAATATAAAAACAATGGGCCTCAAAGGCAACAGCAGAACAAATTTCTCTGAAAGGTGAAATTTCATCATTACATCATTACATAAAAATGTTTACACAGAAATTGTTAAGTAAACTGTCTATGCATTGAGCTGAATGCAACATTTTGTGTAAAAATTGTTTAAATTATTTACAAAGAATAATTTTCATAAATGAAACCCACTGATGGATGATTTATAAGGACACACTAACAACAAAATTCTGGCAAAATAGCGAAAAGACAATAATTACTTACAGTAAATGTTATGGCCGATAACCAATATATTCATTCATCTATTTATTAAGCACCAATAAAATATGACCAATATTAAAAATGTTTACTATTTATAACATTTTGCTTAATTAAACATAAAATAGTGAACTGAATTTAGTTCACCAATGGTACAATGTAATGTACAGTATGAAAACTGGATATTCATTTTAAGATTTGCTACAGATTATATTTAATAGTGTTATTAAAATATTG